TATAATTTTATATAATTTTATATAATTATATGCATAATTATATATAATTATAATGAAACATTTTTTCCCAGGTTGCTATTTTATGTTAATTTTATGTTAATTTTATGTTAATTTTATGTTAATTGATATAATATTTTGGAAATATATTTTTAAGTTTATCAGAAATATATTTTCTTAAATTTTAAAAAATGTGAAATAAAAAATTCTAAATGCTTCTTTTACAATTAAGATTTCAAATGCCGCCGCACTTTTCAAGAAGAAAGAAGAAAGTATTTACAAGTTTGGAAAGTATTGGTAAGTGGAGAAAGTTAACTGACTAACCTAAATTCTTTGTGATATATGACGAATTTCACCATTGAGTTCTTTAACTTATTAGTAGGCCATTAGGCTAATCTCTGTTTCAATTAATATTTTTAATTTATATTAATAATCAAACGGTCATTGACTATAAACTAAGTTACTATAGAGCCGACGACTTATATATGAAATATTTGGAGAGCTCCACACTCAAATTAATTCGAATGTGGAATTTCCGTAGAGTTTGACCAATCTTTTCCAAAATTATTTATTATAGAATTTTTCATTAGCAGAATTCTCTTTGGTGCGCACTGCTTGTGCATTGCTGTAATAATTTGACACGAGCATGAACGCAGATAACAGAAAAAATAAAGTTACCTAAAAATTATCTAAAATTATCTAAAAGTTATCTATCTTTAAGATATCGAAAGTTCATCTTTTAGTTAACTTATAGGTATTTTGTTAATTTTTCGAAAATTGAAAATAATATATTTAAAATAATATATAATCAACAAAGGATGAAACTGCTTAAATAAGCTCGCATCTTTCGCGATATAATTGAAATCCTAGATTTAAATCAATTTGTAAATATATTTATATGAGCAAATACAGTTTAATTAACATTGCAGTTATAAACAGCAATAAATATAAACGCGTATAAGAACATTAGTAGCAGTAAAGCTGAAATCAGACTACGCATTGAGATTGAAGATTGTAAAATTGAAACTTGAACAATATGAAATTTTAGTTCCTTTTATTTTTATTAATTAAAATTCAATCTTTCGATCTTTAATTTCAATCTTCTTAAGGTCGGAATTAGACTATGTATTAAAGATTGAAATTTTAACAATAAGAACAAAGAAATTTTGGCTCCTTTTATTTTGGTCAAATTTCAATATTTTAATCTTCAATCTTAACCTTTAATGCGTGATTTAATCGGCCTACGTAATCTGATATCGAGAAATAATAAGAATTCATAAAGAACGGAGAAATCCGTTGGTGGAAAGGGAAAGACTCTTCGTGTCGATCCTCAAAATCGTCATTCAGAGATTGACCGTGCGTGTTAAGTTAGTAGTTATATATATAAGGCTCTTCACATCAATCGCGACTGTAAATCATTATATTCGTCTAGCATTACATTAACATTTTTACTGTAAAATAAAATTGATACATATATATCTCTTATGACAGTGGTTTATATTTTTTAATTCTTTCAATTGTGAATAGTCAAAACGTAATAGTCAAAACGTAATAAAGAAATAAAACATTTTTTTATCGACAATCAAGTGGACAAGACATAAGCAAAGATGGCTCGGCGACCTCCAAACTATGAGCTTTTGTCAGAAGAAAAGACAAAGGAAATGTTGAAGCTCTTTAAAGGCGAAAGAACTGGATTTGTTCTTGTGGGTCCGAAAAAATACTTGCTTCCATTTAGATATGTAGAACAAGGTGAAGGCTTCTATAATTTTAAAGCTAAATCAGATGACATATGGTTACTATCACATCCAAGATCAGGTACATATTAACACGTTTGGCCCTCCACTTAATTAAATCTTAATGAATAAATTATATATAAATAATTATAAATAATTATATGATAATGCTATTTATGCGCTCTCAAAATCCGCAAAAAAATTTTTTCGCTCATTTTATTACTTTATTTTTATTGCTTTATTTAGCTAAAAAAATTTTTTGTGGGAGAACTGAGTAGGTTGTCAATCAGCCCCTCTACATATATAATAACAATTTGGAAAATCAAATAGACAGGATTTATGTGCTATTTATGCGCTTTCATATTCACATAGTTTCAATTTTTGCGCTGCATCCCTTAAGGCATTTCCCTCTTGGAACACATGTTTATCCCTAAAAAATATATCTTTGATTTATCTTTGATTTGATGCGCTATCATTTTCAAGCATTTCAATTTTTGCGCTGCAATTCTTTAGAAGATATATATTTTGCATAGTTAGATAGCGTAATTTTGCAATTTTAAACGACTTAAGGATGAATATGACTGTTTGCTCCAAGATGGAAGTCTTTTAAGGGATTCAAAGCAAAAATTGAAACTATGTGAATATAAATCCTGTCTATTTAATTTTCCAAATCGATTGTTATTAATACGTGAAGGAGAACTGACTGACGGCCTACTCAGCCCCCATAAATAAATTTTTTTTTAAATTAAACTAAATGAGCGCAATAATTTTTTTTGCGAATTTTAAGAGCACATAAATAGCGCATTATTATATAATTTATTTATGGGGAGCTATCTAGGCAAATATCAATCGATGATGACGTCGTATCAACCGATGATGAACGCAAAAAAAATTAAGCAACAATAATTCCATTATATGGATATTTTTAGTGTAATAATATATACATATTCAAACAATAAAAATACGAGGCAACAGTGAAAATTTTTTATTAGGCTTTATCTTTTAAGTGATGTTCTAATTTTTCATGTTTTAACTTGAATTTTATAAAATTTTACAAAAATTTTACATGTATTATTATTCTAATTTTCCTCTCCTTCAAAATTAGATCTTCTAATTGATTTTTCAACTTTTTAAAATTTATTTTCAAATATATTTTAATTAACTCAAGACGTATAAATTTTTTAAATTAAACCCTGATTTAAAAAATTCGATAAAAAATGATTTTATCGTTTTAAATATGGATTTTGGTTCGTAATTTTATAACAGAGAGAGAGAGAGAGAGAGAGAGAGAGAGAGAGAGAGAGAGAGAGAGAAAGAGAGATAAATCGAAATTTATTTAGCATTCTGGGGCTAAATTCCCTCAAGCGTTTAACTTATACAAAAATATTATTATATTAATATTTGTATATGTATAAAGTTGTGTATACACAAAAATATAGAAGATTAACAGAAGTATAAAAGTATAAAAGTTTAATGCTCATTTCCACCACTGTAAATTATCTTTAATCTCGATTCAATTTACTTTTCAATTATCTTTTTCTGACTTTTAGAACTAGAAAGAAATGAAGAGTAAGTTAAACCATGAAACTCAACCATGAATCACTCAACCATAAAACTATTGTATAATATTTGATAATGTTAAAGTTATGAGATCACATCTCACTGCACATTTTACATATAGAAAAACTCGAAATATAGCTTTGCGATTCATAATTCAGTTTTATATTTTGCGATAATGTTTAATATTTTTCTGCTGAAGGTGACTCAAAACGAAGCCGAAATGTTCAAAAATAATTAAACTTATTTATTTTTATATTATTGTATATTATATATTCCTGCGCAATTTTTGTTCTAGCGCCGACCTCCTAATGCCTCATAAATTATACTTATTGTCCTTTAAATATGTATTATATAGCATTTCATGAAACCATGAATCAAAATTCCATATTCAAAACGATAAAATATCTTTCTTCATACACTGTTTAAAAAATATATTAAATTTTATTTTTAACAGTATAGAATTAATGTTAAGAATCTTTATTTTAGAGACCGCATATGTGAGAACACAATCAATAGAAATTTAAAATGTCTATTACGATCGAAGCTGGATCTTCATTGCTTTTCAAATAATTCAAACTTGAATTACTAATATATATTATATATGTACTTATATATATGTATAACATTGTAGTCTTTTTGAACTGCGCGCCAAATTATTTTTCTGGACTATAAATGCAATTAAAACTACTCTAATAATCGTGAATTAAATTGACAGCAATTTTAATAATTTGATGTTACAATCAAGCATCATATTATAAAGATATTAATATGTTGAAAAACTGTTAATAAATTTATAAAAAAATATTATCTCGATCGGGACTTGAACTCGAATCTCTTGTATTCCGTACGAGCATCCTAAGCCATTAGACCACCGAGATTAAAATCAATGTGTATGTTGTTTCACATAAAATGACTAATTACACATTGAAATAAAATTACACATTGAATATAGTTTACAATATTTGAAAACGTATGCGATATCGGAATTCGAATCTAAGACCTACGGATAACACACGACCTGTTCATACTCTAACACGCTAACGCTGAGCTATGTAATCGTACACTAGTCAGATTTGATATTCGACTGTTATTCGACTCGTCGTCGTAAATTATTATAATGAATTTGCTGTAGGCTGTCAATAGTGATCTATATGAAATTACATACATCGAAGATTTATCAGAGAATATTTTAAATTTTAAGATCACTTTAATAACCAAAAAGATAAATTACCCTTTTTTTAGAAAAGAAATTTTTGTAAAAAAGAAATTTTATTACTTGTTATTTCTATAAATTAGGAACGACTATGGCGCAAGAGCTCATATGGCTGTTGGCAAACGATTTGAACTTTGACGTAGCGAAAAAGCGTCTACTTACTGAAAGGTTTCCATTTTTCGAGTGAGTATGTGTTTATATGTGTATATATGATAATACATTATAAAAGAACTTCAAGTACAATTATAACAATTATAATGAATGATTTTGACTCTTACTATTAAAAATGTACATATTTTCATACGTAATAATAAAGTTACATCCTACGAATAAAACTCTTATATTATATTCTTTTTTACAGAAATTAAACAATTTGCAAAAGTAAACTTAAAATCGAAATTAAGTTTATAAAAATATTTATCCTCATATAATTTTTTATCTTCATATAATAATTTGCCATCAATTCACATAGAACACTTTATCCATATCCTTAAGCATAGAAACATTTTCTGAATATCCTTAAGATGCCTTGGGGATCTGTTTTGTATAAGAAATTACATTTTTATTAAGCTATATTATTAAATATATATTATTATATACCAATATAACAAATATAATATGTGTGACATTACCATTATGTTACATAATACAAAAAAATGTATTTTTAAAAACAATAAAACATATTATTATTGAAAAAAATTTTCCGTCTAATATAAGTACACATTTACACAATTACAACTAAAAATACAAACTACAATTCTAAAAATACATAATTTATAAACAAACATAAATAACAGGGGCTATGAGCCAGATTTTTATATATTTAAAATCTTAAAACAGACATTTTGACCTTATTATTAAATCATCCTCAATGTATACATGTAGAGAACGCAAATTTAACAATATTAATAAAACGGTTAAATATCAATTTCTACAGATTATAGTTACGCAAAATTGATAGTATTTCTTCATATAATATCTATTTTCTGTCGCAATAATATAATGTTTTCAGTCTTGTTATATTCTCAGTTACATTCTTTCATTATATCGGTCGTAATTAGTCCATAATGATAATAAAATTATTTAAACATGTTGAGTCATTCAATAAAAATGTATCAGTACACATTCTGTTAAATCAATACTATAGATTATAGTAATTAAAATAACAATGAATAAATGATTATTATATTCGAAATTATTATATATATAAAATCCTTAATTTAATAGACAACTATATTAAAGTGTGTCTCTCTCTTAATAAATAAAATTATTGTACAATATACCTCAAACGCGAATGTTTAATAAATATTATTAACAATGAGTTGAAACAATGAGTCAAATTAATTCACAAGAAGCAAATGCAGAGGAAAAAATTGAAACCAGTTCAGTCAAAAATTACTTGTATTGTATTATAGAGTGTGAGCGACATTCTATGGCTTTTATAATATCTTGTTGAAAGAGGGGATGAGATTGGAAGGAGAATAGGGATAGAAAAGGAACAATGAAAGTGAGAACGGAAGAAAAAACTAAGAAGGGGAAGGAGACTGCAAAATCTGTAGATAAGAATTAAATAATGATTTAGTGTTATTTTGTTTGTTCAATTCTAATTTTTGTTTTTTTATGTGAACCTTCAGAGATTAATTTTTTGTTATACGACAATTTCTTGTCGTATCTAGATCTTTACATCTTTCCAATTAAAATTATGGTTATAGTTAATACGATGCTCAATAATCACCAATGAAAAATTCTTTTTATTAATGTCCGAAATATGTTTATTTAATCTTGTTTTTAATTTTCTTTTGGTTTGTCCTGCATAACTAGCTTCAGTTCTCACAAGAAATCTTATACACAATTTTTGATTAGCTAAATGATCTATTTATCCTCTAGTTATAAGGCTTTTCAATGTATTTGAGATTGAATATGAGTTTGCAATTATATTTATATGCTATATAGATAAAAAACTTTCAGAGATAGATTTTATATATGGAATTGTAAAGAATGTTTCCTTGACATGGATATTATATTCTGTGTGTGGTATTTTAATCTTTTTTCTGTTGAAAAAAAATGAAAGGAAGAAAATAGCTATCATCAAGTAAAATATGAATAGCATCAACCAAGTTCTTTTTGTAGAAACGAGGATGAGACAATTTTAATAATTATTTTGTCAACGAAACCGAAAATAACACCTTTTTTGTGAAAGAGTAGTGTAAGTAAAAATTAAGAAATCTGCCCGAACAAATAATTTTTCTGTATTTGTCAAAAATGCTCTTATAGTTGTCAATCATAATCATAGTGTCCAAAAAAACTCAAGTTATTCTCAGTGCCGATCTCCATAGTAAATTGTAGTCTGACATGTAAGAAATTGAAGATTTCAAGTTGTATTCGGTACTATCTAATAATGGAACCGCTAAATGATATCATCCATATAGTCATCCGGAAGTAAAATAATAACTGGTAATTTTTGTTGGATCGCTATTTCCTCAAGATCCTGCATAACTATGTCAGCAATAATTGGCGACAATAGTGAACCCATCGGGGCACCGAAAACTTGTTTGTAAATTTTATTTTTATTATTAAATTTTTTATTATTAAATGAAAAAATGTAAAGTTAAGAACCAGACGGATGGAGGCTAAAAATTCCTCTAATGGAATATTTATCTTTTTTGATAGTCTTTTTTTAACACTATTTAACGCTAGTTCTAACATTATTTAATGGAACAAGGATACTATATCAAGCGATATTAAAATATAATATATATTAGAATCAAAATGAGTTCCATTTTGGGTTTCATTTAACTTTTCAATTAAATGAAAGCCATTTTTTATGTATTATAATTAAGTGCTTCCAGTACTGCTGACAATACCCAGTAAGAAATGACAATAAAATCGATATCGAATCGATTTTGTCAACGTTTATTAAAGATATACTTGACGTACAGTCCCTGCAAAGAAAATTAAATTTGGAAGTATGTTTAATATTTACACTTCGAATAAACTATATATATGAAAGTTATGTGAATAAGATTATATTTTTATTTAATAATACATTTTTGTAGTTTTATTTATTCTATTTGTTATTTTTGTTTTTATTGTTAAAAATTAAAATTTTAAAAATGATACAGAGATTTATATTTTTCTTTTATACTTTAAATGTTCAAAATAATTTATGCAAAATTTCATTGTGATTTACTGATTACAAAGTCATAGAATACTAATTACAAAGATATAGAATAAATAAATATTTTGTTTATTTACTGGATAACGAGTGCATCGCAATGTAACTTTACGTAAATAATTTTGAATACATATTGTACTTATACTATTGTACTTATACTAAAAAATTGAAATTTTTATCATTTATTTTATAATACATTTCCATGTATTTTTATATTTAGAGCACAGATTTAAAAAATACCACTATTTATTAAAATAATTTATGATCCAGATAGTAAACCGAAATTTGTCGTATTATTTTTAAACATGATTTAGAACAATCAATAATTTTTTCATAATTTTGTTATCATTTTAAAAATATGTATAAAACATCCTTAAATTGTATCTTTATTCTTACAGATTCAGTTTATTTAATCATCCTGAAGTGACTCAAGAATTTATACTCTCTAACAAAGATGACAAAGTAAAGCAACAATTGTGTCGGGAAATAGCTTTGCCCGGTTATGAAGTTATCGCTGATATGCCATCACCTAGATTTATAAAAAGCCATTTGCCTTTCAGCATGTTGCCTGGACTTCTAGATGTTGGTTGTAAGGTAATAATTAAATAAAAATGGAAAGATTCTTTTTATTAATTTTCTACTTTTGTAACACTTTCCTTAGATTATTTATATAGCTCGTAATCCGAAAGACGTGGTAACTTCTTGGTATCACCTTAATTGCTCAATCAAGACACAAGGATATTTGGGTGATTTTCCCACCTTTTTGGAATATTTTCTAAATAATTTAAGTAAGTAGAACATATCCAGAGAAAGAGCTATATATATTTCTTATTTTTCTGTATCTTATCTGTAGATATTTATATTATTTATTACATGGGTGCCCAATATTTTTCTGAAAGTTTTATCTAGACAATTTATTTGTATCCATATATTAGTTCGTAAGAAATAGATTTCGAATGTAATGTAAGAGATTGAAAAGATCCAAAATAAAAGTAAAAATAAAATAACAAATTAAAATTATTCTTTTATTTTGACAAAAATTAAAGTTTAGAAATAGAATATGAATATAAATATATAAAATTAAAACTACTAATTCTATATATAAGATAAAAACTAAATCCAAAAACTAAAATTGAAAATTTAAATAAAAGCAATACATAATTTTATAATTTTTATCCATAAAAGTTTTTTTTTATAAAAATTCTGCACAAAAAATTTTTTATAATATCATATGTATATTTTATACATTTAAATTGTAATTTTTATATTTTTACGAATACTAATCAGACTCAAATATAAACAAAACCAGTGACTTAAATATGAAAAAAAAAGTTTAAAGTAAAAATTTTTTTAAATACAATTTTGCAATAAATTTTTTTTCTATCTTTAACTATCAACTATGACTCTAATGATTCATGCAAAATTGGATCTTCCTGCCAAGAGTAAAATATATCATGTCTATTTTTCTTCTATAAAAATTTTATTCTTTATTAAATTCTATGAACAAAAATTGTGTGTGATTAATAGAAAGGAAAAAGTATTAGTCGTTAAATTAAAATAGACTTATTCCAAAAAAAACCAATAACTTTAATAAAAATAATATCTACGTAAACATTTTTTAAAAATAATCTGCGCGCGCGTGTGTGTGTGTGTGTGTGTGTGTGTGTGTGTGTGTGTGTGTGTAATCTATCAAAGCATTGCTCTTTCTACTTAGACATTCGATATGACTTTTACTATTGTTGACTTATACTTGTTACTACATATATTTGTTCTCTTTTTGGAGGAAAAGTAAAAACAGTGCTTCAAAATTTTTAATGCCTTTATCTTTTTATCTATAAAGCGCCTTGGTCGCCATACTGGGAACATCTAAAAGAAGCCTGGGATTTAAGGAATTCCCAAAACCTTTTGTTCTTATTTTATGAAGAGGTAATACACGTAAGTGTAGACAAAAATTTTTATTCTCAATTAAACAGAGAAAAGTCATCGATACTGACATATTACTTTGTTTTTGGATAATATTTCTTAAACAAAAGTTAAAAACTGTAGAAACATAAATATAGACTATAAAATGTCTTCTATTAGATAATATAACAATTTTTATAATATCTTTTGCAATTTTGCAATAATTTACTTTTTCATAAGATAAGGAAAAATGAGCGTCTGATAAAATAGGCCACAAAATTGACATATTAAATGTAAGTAATGCCACATATTCTTTTTTTTTCTTTTACAAGGCATTCATCATCTGTATAAAATACTTAAAATAAATATTTAAAAATTTCTTTATTTCTAAAATAGTTTTCGTTCATTTAAATGCATTCTTCATACTGTTCTGCAGACGAAAACATATATGTAACGCAAGAATTTCTTTTTTTTTAAGGTTTTTCTATAAATACACGATTGTCTTCAAGACACCTATCAAGACATCCATGGAACAAGTCAGAATGAATTCCGATCGGAATTATTCAATTATTCCCTAGATTTCTTTTATATTTTCTAGAAAAAATGGAATAATTTCGATCAGAATTCATTCCGACATGTTCTATGATAGGTATCTAGTTTCAATAGGGCTTTGATAAATTAATACTATAATTAATGCAACTACACTATAAGGATTAAATTAACATTATGATCTACCTTATAGACAAGTGTGCGGTTATGCTGTTTCCTGATTTTATATTTAAAACTGAATAGATCTTGCCCCGATGGCTTCAAAGGGCGATATATTTTATTTTAGTTTTACGTACATTATCTATTACATTCATAGATATATAAGAAAGACCCAGTATATATTTAGTATAATATTATAGTTATATCTATAGTATATGCTGGATTTGACAGAACGGTGTTGAAAGGCAAAATATTGGGACAACCTATCCTTTTCTGCGCGCACGCTTGACAGTAAACTTATTTTGATATAATACTTAAGAATTCTACCTTCCTCGATTTTGATGAAATTATTCTTATTCGACGCGTTTGTGCGCGAAATGAACGGATCTGATAAAAAAATTTTGCCTTTCGCATCATTCTAAACCCATATATAGATATAAATACTGGGTCTATCTCTTATATACAATATAGTATGTCTATAATTACATTGGCAAACTGATATGGATCTTAATAAAGCGATACTTATGTTCCGAGAATCAAAATCCAGATCACCGTCGCTATTCTCTGTTAATTCATCAATAAACCACACACGATTAATAATATTGTTAGTAATTTGTTAAGATAATATATTATTGATCATGTAAGATCATTTCAATGTTGGCATATGTTAAATTGTCAAGATTATAGCCCCAAATGACTTTCGACAGGTTTTCGCTCGTTATTTGATAAAAAGTTATTAACAAAACAATTTTTATAAGTAAAACATAATTTATAAGTAAAACATAATTTTTGAACATAAGATATACATTTTACTATATGTATATTTTACATATACTCAGCTGCTATATATGTTCTTCTTTGTTTTACATAATACTTTTCTTTTATGCCAAAATGGGATTAAAGAAACATTTCGTGCAAAGCGAAGTCCATCCCACACCTTTCATGCTTAGAAACGTACAATTTTTTATGCGAAACGAAGCCCTACTCCTTTCTGTCAAATTCTCACCCAAATACCACTCAGATGTTTTTTCCTTGTTGATCATCGAATAACAATTATTACATCGAATTAAACAAGAATAACATATTTCTTGGGGAGCACTCAGGTGGAAATCTGAACACGCTCTTATTTAAAAAATGCCGAACAAC